AGGTGGGATGGTTTTACACTAAAGGAGGGAAGATTTAGATCAGATGTTCAGGGGGAGTTCTTTGTTGAGATGGCAGTGAGGTGCTAGAACAGACTGCCCAGAGAGGTTATGAATGCCGTGTCCCTGACAGTGTTCAAGGCCAAGTTAGATGGGGCCTTGAGCAACCTCATCTAATACTTGATCTAGTGGTTAGCAACCCTGCCTGCAGCAGGGGGGATTGGAACTTGGTGATCCTTGAGGTCTCTTCTAAATCAAGCTATTCCTTAATTGAAGAAAAGACTGACAAAATCCTATGACCTAATCTTAAACAGCTGTTATAAAGGAGTATGTCCTTTTTTTCTAGTTGCCAGGGGAAGTAGTAGCGTCACCATCCCTGGAGATGCTAAAGAAACATGTAGATGAGGTGCTTAAGGACGTGGTTTAGCAGGCAAGGGTAGTGATAAGCTGACAGTTGGAATTCATGATTCAACCTTATCCAACCTTGATTCCATAATTCTACAATTAATACCACTTCTTCTGGGCTAAACACAGCAAGGTTACATTTTACCTCCCTTTCTTCTCTACTGTGGTGCTACCCAAATAATTATTTCCTTAAAACACCATTCTGGTAAAAAGTACAAGCAAGAAACACTGTTTCAGCATTAAAATAAAATCATTTATTTTCGATTCAATCAATTTTGTAAAAACATCAAGCAGAAGCAGAGCAGCAGACAACACACATATGCCATAGAACATGGCCATGATTACTGCAAGAATAGCAGCAAGCATCCATCTTCTTTGTAGTGGAAGTTCAGCTATGAAATATAATCCTTTCAAATACATTAAAATACAGGATTTCAGTACAAACTGCATTAGTGAAAAAAATTATTTATGCTTTTATCATTTATTTACTCTTGCCAACTCAAGACATTTTGTATTCTTGGGCAGTAGCAGACTGGACTCTCCAATCTCACCACTTAAAAAAGATCCAGTTTCACACAGGCAGTCACTGAGTTCTAGTAATCTCCATACTAGGAGATACTAATCATACTAGGAAAAGGATGATTCAGTTCTTTTTAAAAATAAAATGAAAACATTTAATTGCCATTTTCATTCTTTCATTGTCTATCTAGGTTTTCCTAAACTTGTCACGTCACCCAGAACAGCTACCAGAAGAGGTAATTGATAAACCTTTCAGCAGTAGAATATGGAAAAATCAAACTAAGCACTGGAGATGGCATGAAAACATTTGCTTGCTATCTTAAAACTAGGATTAGACAAGAGATTAGGGAAAAATCCTGCTCTAGCCCCCCTACTATCCAACTGGGTTTTCCTCACTGACATTCAGGTTTCAGAATAATTAACTATGATTTAACTTAACCATGCCCTTTACCTTTGCCTACCCTCTACCTCTGAGAAAACTGCCCATGATATTTTCACTGTGTTCACAAATTGCTAGTGAATCCTGATATACAGATAAGCAAACTATTTCTCAGCACTCAGAAGATGGCTAAATATAGCCACTACTCACATTTCCAGCAATGGCATTTTGGTGTACCATCTGCTGCAACATTCAGGTTGGGACAAGCCAACATTTTCTCAGCAGAGAGATTAGGGAAGACAAGATCTAAACTGCTACAAATAGTTCCAGAGATTAATTGTTAGTTATTTGACAGGCATAAAGCATTCAGCAGCTTTGGAAATCAAAATGTTTCCACAGCAGGTACAGACAACACTCCCTCTAATTTCTCTTTTCTCCTCCTCTTTAAACTGCCCTATGTACGTAGAAAGGCAGGAGGCAAAGGGTAGGCAGGTACTGACCTTTCCAGGTGGAAAGACGGAGTAACTGAATCAAGTTAAGATAATATTTAGGTTTTCAGTTCAGAGATGAGAGGACCCAGGTGAACTTACTAGATGACAGAGGTTGCTACAGAAAAAGGCAAGACAGCAGGAAAGACTCCGGGCTACAAATAGGGTATTTGTTGCAGAAATTAAAAGTTCTTATCCAAGTTTTAGCTGCAAGACACGTGTCAAAGACCAGAGAATCATCCGCAAAAGAGGTAGCGAAGTGGATCTTGAACAGTAAACATGGATCTTTGCCATCTCCACTGCTCCTGACCTTGGCATTGCACATTCCCCTCCATAAATGCAATTTCACCTGTCCACACACACCCTTGCAAAGGATTAGCTTTGCAGAGATGCCTTTGAAGAGAAAAGAAACCCAAAGTAGTGGAGTGCTAAACCCCACCAACAGTTAAAGCAGGAATTGAAAAGGAGAGGCAAAAGAAAGGAATAGGAATTGGATCTCTGAGTCAAGACCCTAGAAACCCCATGAGACAAAACAGGAGGAAGGGAAAGAACAATACTTAGGTCTAAGTCTCATAACCACTCTGGGTCCCCAGGGTATGCCAAGGGGCCTGGTACTGATGCCGTACTGGAGAGCTCGAGAACTGTGTGATACTATCAGAGGTGCTCTGGAAGCTGTAGGCGTCTTCTGCCTGCAAGCTGTCATAATCCACATTGGTAGGGTAGCCATGATAGAAGTTCATCTGCTGACTTAATAGACCCATGGCCTGCTGGGTGTTGCAGCTTGTTGCACCTTTTCCAAAGAACCCCTCATCCTCCATAGCCATGAATGGGTACAAGCCCTGCCCATTCCCATAAGTCTGGCCACTGCTGTAAGCCTGGTGTGCACTGGTCACAGCCTGAAGATTTCTGTTGGCACCAACAGGGAAGCCCTGGTGAAATGTAGGGGTCATATCCAGATACGCAGCTTGATGAAACCCATTCTGGGAAAGACAGATAATAGTCCATTCAGTAATTATTAGCACCACACCAACTGTACCCATTGTATTGTATGTATCCTACTTTCCACCTCCTTCAAAATATGGTCTTTTCAGTCCAGTGTCTTCACTATGGTTAATTAATATCAGAGATCACAGATCTTAAGTTAAAAAGCCTACAGTCCAATTCTGGGAACACCATGCTAGAAGAAAAAAAAAAACACCAAAAAAACAAACAAACAAAAAACACCGGCAACACGAACAGCCTCACTGGCCCTCCTGAGCTGTTTAATTTTTTTACCACTTCTTAACTAAGTGTAAAAAAAGATACCTCAATGGCCAAGGCAGGCTTGAAAAATAGATGCTGCTGTAGAATTCATTATGAAAAATGAAACTGACTTGGACATGATACACTTTTCCCCACAGAAAGCAGGAACCCTGACTAGTAGTAAGGCATACTTGGGCAAGGGGAATTCTCTCACCTGTGGTAGATAAATCCCTTTATCCACCCACTGACTCTCCTTTTGGCAACGTTTAAATTTCATTCGTTGGTTCTGAAACCATGTCTTCACCTAGAAGAGAGGGGATAGAACACGGAACATTAGAAATTCATTCCTATTTGAATCTTACTATGTATCCCCCAAATTTTTCTTTCTACAGCAATATACATTGGTTGCTCCAGAAGTAATGTCTCCTATTTATTTCCATGGAAACTCCAGTAGCTAGAAAGAGCACAATAATGCTATTGGATAGAGCGAATTCCCAGATACGGAGCACTGTTTTTCAACATAGCCACCATCATTAGCTATGCATTTTCACCAGTGATAAAAAACAGCCTGTGTGGCACAACTCATTAAAATATACACCAATGCAAGTGATCCACATTGCCAACACTACCTATGGCCTCACTGTGCAAACGTCCATTGCCCGATTTCCATAAACGTTCATAAAGCGTCAATGAATGTCAGTGGGTTAAGTGAGACACGTTTGCTTCATTTGCCCTTCCATGTCAGACACTATTTTGTCAGATTGCCCCTCTGCTGCCATCTGTCGCACGGCAACAAAACGTAATGGAATACTGGCAGGAAGCTTCTGCCTCTGAGGTTGTGATCCAACATAATAAAATAGGAGGCATTACTTTTGGAGCAGCCCTCATAGTTTCTGCCTTGCTTCCAATACTATGCACGGTTCCATCAGCTAACATTACATAGCTGTAGAATCAACGCTGGGACTAGTGTACTTATAGCTCCGGTCACCGGTTTTTACACTCAAAGCATCAAAACCCCTGCCTGAAAAACATGCCAGACAAGGCAACTACAGCAAAGTTGCTTGAATGGCGGCAGCTTCTCACTGCTGGGCAGACATCAGTGCCGATTCACAAATCGCCTCAGTCACACATGAGTAACTGGTGGGGCAAGGACCGTATCTCTGACACCAATATACTGAGAAACACCCCTCCCTGTGAGTCCAAGAAAAGAAAAGATGTTTGAGATGACTTTACATTTAATGATGCAATTTGGCTGCTCAGAGGAAGATGTTACCTGCTTGTAGGTGAGCCCCAGGGCAGCAGCTAGCTCCCGGATCTGATGGGGGCTGAGGTACTTTTGGCTCTGAAACCGCTGGTGCAGGGTCTGCAGCTGCTCCTGAGAGAAAGCCGTGCGGCTCTTGGCCTTCCTTGCCCCACTCTCACCTTTATCCTTGACCTTCTGAAAAGTGGGGTGGTGAGATGGGTGGTCTGCAGTGGGGCTAGTGGCAGAGTCCGGGGTATACTGAATGAGTGTCCCAGAGCTGGAGGAAGCTGGAGAGGCATCTGAGGAGAAAGGACAACTAGAGTGAGCAGTCACTCCAGATAAAGACTTCGAGGTTCAGCTTCTGGAACACTGGAGACCGCTGCAGATTCCATAGCCAGGGTGAGCACGAGAAGCAGCGGTAGCCGGCAAGACAGCCCGCAGCTTCGCCGGGACACGAAGGCCGCGCCAGGTCTTTCGCGGCGAGCTCCCAGCCCTTGCCCACCGCTTAGCTCCCGGCGGGGCAGGTGAAGGAGTACTGCCTACCCTCCCACCCCACGACACGGCCCGGCCATCGCTCCCTGGCAGTGGACAGCTTTTGATAAAAGCCGACGGGCGCTAGCGGAGCACCAGAGGCTTCGCGCTGGTGGAGGGGAGACAGCAAGAGATACGGCCACCTCTTCGGGTCCACATACCTGGGTGGCTGGGCGTCTTCTGCGCTGCGGTCAAGGAAAGGTCTGCTCCTGTAGCTTCCTCAGCGGACGCACTATCCATGCTGCCCGGGGAGGGCCAGTAGTAGTGCCCGCACCTAACGGCGCCGTAGGACGGCATGGCCAGGTGAGCGCTCATGGTCGGGACGGCACCTCCAGCTGTAGCTGGCGGTGAGCTGATTGCGGACGGACCTACTTCACGGAGATACCCCATTAGGCGGTGAGGGGCAATGTTTTATGTCCTCCCCAGACTGGCTTTGGCCAGGGGATTGTCACGACCATTGTCATGTTAAAAGTCAGTTGATTGGGGGGGAGTGGCTTTGGGGATATTCAGAGAGTGGGGGAGGACTAGGACAGAGGGGCCAACTTCCCCATTTGGGTCCTCGGTGGGGGTCAGTTCTTTGCTGCCCGCACACCCGTCCCCTCGGGGGAATGGGAAGAGACGCTTTGTTTCCACCTCAGGCCTAGCAGGCGTGAGCGAGGCTGTCCCGTACGGCAAGTTAGGCTGGGCTGGCACCCCCGCCCTCACATTTCACAGTCTTGCTCCCCACCTACGCCTCCTCATCGATCCCCACCCAAGTACAAAGAATGGAGGGGGAGCCCAGAGATCCCCCCGGGACATGCGGAGGCTTTTCGTGTCTGCATTGCAGACTGCAGCCATCATTGTACACAGATAAGCATTCCTCCTTGCAAGGAATACAGACTGGGGCCGGCGGGGAGGGCGGTGTTTCAGGATGGTGTCTGCATCACAGGGAAGCAAGCTCAAAGAAAGACGAGCTCCTCAGTTTTTCTAAATGCTAACCCAAGGATGAGACAGACAAGTCTATCTTGGAGGAGCACAAAGGAATGTCACTTCTCAAGCTTCTTTCCTCAGATATTTGTCACTACTTTTCATGACATTTGAAATAAGCAAGAGTTTACAAAAAAGAAGAGGAAAAAAGTTTTTGGTAAGCTCCAGGAAGAGGTGGCAATAACCCTGTTGAGGATAATATAAAAGAACCCTTCAGAACTTCAGCACTTGAAGCCAGGCACTACTGTTTCCACTGTCCCACAGTCTACACCAAAGTATTACTATTTTGTTTAAGGAAATTATGAAGTTACTGGAGTGATAATCATAATTGCTCAGGGGTTATAAAATGTGGAAAACCATCTGAGAGATCTACAAATGAGAGCGTGAGACAAATCAAATTCCTTACTTCACCCAGTGAAAGGACAGGACGTGGCTCCTGCCTGTCTAAAAAGAAACAGGGGATTGTTATTGGCTGCTAATTATCTTCTATGGCAACAGAAATATGCCTCCCTTGCTTCCTTACATTTCTTCTTCCCCAGCTTAGTCATGATGAGCTGATGAGCCCCATGTGTTAAGTTAAGCCCCCCTTCCCCCAGCACTGCTAGGTAGTGGCAGAGAGTTGCTGGCCTGAAGGTGCTTTTGCAGCTTGGAAGGGCCCTCGTTGGGGTCATTTTTGATGACTTTCTAATTTATGGTGATCTAGTTTCTCAGAATCTGGATAGGGTTCAGGTAGACACGTGATTAGGAATGCAGGAGAAAGTTGTTATAACTCGATGAGGGGGTAAAATATGGAGGCAGATGGTATCTTGCCCTGAAGCAAGTGGTGTAAGCTGTGGGTTCCCTGCTTCCCTTAGGCTTTTCCCTGTCCCCACATTTTGGGCTGCTGGTTTCACACATGGTTGCTTGCTTACTGTTATGGGCTCAGCAACTGCACACGCAGAGTTTATCTATTAAATGAGCAAAATCATTGTGTAACTGTTACGGTAGTGGTGGCCACTGATCTGCACAGTCCCTTTGCTGATAGGGCTTCACAGGAGATATGCGTGCTGTGAAATAATGTCTGAGCTCATAAAAAAAACAACAGCCTGTTGCAAAAACAGGGAAAACTACAGGGTTTCAATGTCAGGGAAGCTGTGTTTGCAAACCAAAGTGCTTATTTAATTGTCTCTTGGCAATGATAGCTTAAGGGGCTCCACTTATTTGCCTCTACAGTGCGCATTAAGTGAAATAGTAAATACTGTTCTGATAATGTTTATTGACACAGACAGAAGGCTGGAGGCCATGCCGCCTGATGCTGTGAGGTTCCAGGATGCACTCTTGCCATCTCACAAGCTGCAGACTGAGTCATCAGTGGCAACACAGCTTGTGTAGGGGCACCCGTAGCAGAAAGATTAGCGTTTTACAGCCAGAATAACACCTTCACTGCCACCAAATCCCCACTCTCCCTTGGTTTATAATTTTTTTGCTATTGAACTGTTTCCCTCCCAGAGATGGACCTGCTTTGCTGTCTGCATGGAACTGATTTCATTTCCCCCCCTTAATTTTTCCATAATCTTTGTTTATCCTTTGATTTTGTCATCTTGCTCGTCTCTAATTCCCTTTATTTTCACTGCTTTTTGTTCCACTTGTTGCCCTCTAGTGACATGAGTTTGCTTCCTCTTCCTAGCCAGACCTTTAATCAAATTATCAGACATCTTTTGAAATGTCTTAGTAGGATAAATAAGGCTTGTGTAAGTGTATAAAATCATGTCTAGAACTAAAGTCGGAATTTATGAAAAGAAATTCAGTTATTTACCCCAAATAAATTTTACACATGATAACATATTGGGAAGATAAATCCATAAGTCATACAGGCCCAGAGAATGCTATGGGAAGCAAGATGTAGACATTCAAGAGGCTCCCTGAGGTGCTGGGTCTGGGACCTATGCCCTGCGACACCATTAAGCTGCAAAGTAGATGTACTGCCCATGAATGTATAGAGATGATGTGTTTTTTAAAAACACCTGCTGAGAATGACTCTGAGAACAGACCCAAATATTCACCCATATTCCTTTTTGCTGCTGTTTTCAAGTGGAGCAGCATCGCAATTCAGATCTGTTTTGGTCCTATTCTTCCCAACAGATTGAAATTGATTTGTTTTTAAGCTGAAGGCTGTGTCACCTCATTCTTAATGCTGTGGTCACTCCCTGCTTTTGCAGTTATCGCTTCATTATGTGCCTAATATGATGGGACTAGTCACTGTGTAAGCATCAGTTGGGTCATTAAGCATATGGAAGGGAATGTAAGCAGTTACTTGGCAGAAGCATGTCCCATGGAGCCTTTTCCATAGTCCTTCCAGGGTAAAAATAGAAGCTGATGTCTAAAAGCTCTGTTGGCTGAAACACAAGTGAGATTGGACAAGGGCTGTAAGGTGTTTTCATGCAAGTTCCTTCTACAAGGGTTCACCTATTAGTGTAAGTAGGGTCACCGGTTTCAGAAGACTGGAGCTCAAACTTGCACTGAAGTGATACAGACAGACCAGCTTACAGAGGCTGAGGAAGCATCAGCTGACTTTAAATTCAGCTTTGGAGCTTATACCTCTGGATCACAGTTCTACAGGTTCCTACCTCATAGCCCTGCTAACCTCATTTTCATCAGCAGATCACTGTTAGAGTTGTCTCAAATTTTATGTAGATCGAGTGTTCTTCTGTAGCTGACTCAAAAGTGTCTCATCTGTGTTTCAGTGAATATTCTGAACTGAACTTTTGAGAGTTCCTATATTGTTCATGCTCATGTTCATGGTGCTCTGTGAGCTGTAACCAGGGGTCCATGGCTGAGCCTTGCTACTCCTCAGAGGTTTCCGTGGGAGGCATCAGGCTCAGTCAAGTATGTGCATGATGGGGGAAGGCAGGTAGAAACCTGTTCATTGTATTCTCTTGAGCTTGTCCACCTTTTCCTGCAAGGAGGTTCACTTGGTACTTTTTAGATTGAACTTTCTTCAGCTAACTCTCAGAAAACATCTGTTCCACAGCCTTTGACTCCAGACAGCCTCCCCGGCATGGCTTGGTCACAGCTAGCAGTCTGGATCGAAAATGTCATGTTTGTGGAAGGAAGGCAGCCAACAAAGAATAATAAAAATTAGATCCTCATTCATATTAAAATACAGCTTTTCTTTCTCTTGACTTTTTAGGGGAGCAGATCAAGAAAAGGACAAAGTTTCTCCTTTCTACTGACAACCCTGCTGCTTAATCACCTGAGAATTACTGGTTAATGTGACCCATTGTTAACCGTGAAGAGGCAGACTTGAACAGAGGGACCGTGGAAGCAGGCCGGCAGGAAATCTGGAGTGTCAAAATAAGGTGGAAAGAAAGCTAGTGAGACCACGCAGATGGGCCTGTTCTTTCTTTATCAGCCCTTCTTTGCACTAACGCTTGCTACATACAGAAATGCTGAAGTGCTTTATTTGTAAGTACTTGTCTCAGGAAGCATTCCCTATCAGTGCTTACAAACTCGAATAAAAAATGATCTCTTTGGGGAATACTTGAGAGCCATGGTTGTTGAGTACTGGGGAACATGTGGAGATTGCGTATTAGACAAGAACCTTCCAAATGGCCTCCCCGATCAACTTCTTCACTCTCCCTTTTGGTAATAGTGATTGTTCTCATAGGCCCTCATAGTTAGATGTGCTCTTACTAAAAGCAAATGCACAGTGTTAGCTGTGTTCAAATGCTTGCTTTGCGTAGAGTTTCTGCAATTTCCAGCACCGGGGGAGGGATACCTAGTGCTGTGTTTCTCATTGCACAAAGACCTTGTGTAATTTAAAAACATGTGACACCTCCTAAGCTCTCCTCCTAAATGCTGCTCCGTATCAGACAGTTTGTGATTTCTGCCCTTGAACAGATTTCTTTTATGAATTTTTAAATGAAGCAGAGGCGCTTTTTTTTTTTTTTCTTTTTTTCCCCCCTCCCCTCAGGTTTCTGATCCCTCTTTCTGATGGGGACAATTTTAGACAACCCACTCAGTGGGAAAAGTTTCTGCAAAGTCCATAGCTACTCAGAGCCTACAGTTAGTGGGGCACTTGAGAGGTAGGATGTGTGTTGAATGTTCTCTTGGGTTCACTGTGTATTGTGGCACCTGTTTTCTTCCACTTTTTCATCTGAGGCTAATCCCATGTTTTTCAGTGCTGTTAATGAGGATTGCATGCCAACTGGATAACTGTAATTATGCTTGTGCAGGCTATAAGTGGGCACACCATCTGAGAGTCGTTTTATTCCTAATACATCTCATGAACCAATTAGCACATAGTTCTCGAGCAATTCATTGTGCTGATTCTGCTACATCTGGATTTTTGAAGTCCAGAAAGTCCACATAGGAGCAGATCACCTATAAGGCAAGTGTCTGGTTGCAGGATGACTGAAAACGGGTGCTTCTCTTTCAAATCTCTCACAGGTAGGGACAGAGACCTCCACTCTATCTGGTCCTTACCCCCATCGGTCCACCGTCTCCCTTCCTCCAAGACTGGCTCTTGCACACACATTCATGTGTGATTAGCAACTGTTAGAGCCTGAGGCTCCCTGGCTGGCACCCGCTCTACATCTGAATGGCAGCCGGTGAAACCCAGTGCTGTTCGACGGGATCTGCAAGTGCATATTGTCTGGGACTGACGGAAGAAAAAGATTTACCTGCTTTTGTCTAACAATATTTATGTGGCCGACTTTGCTGAGATGGGAAAGATAAAGGGACAAAAGGAAGAACAGTGAGTGACAGTAGTTTTTTGTTTTGTTTCGTTTTTTTTTTTTTTTTTAAACAGAATGTCTTTTATTTAGAAATTGCCTTTCAGTACTTAAAGGTAGCTTATAAACAAGATGGAGACCGACTTTTTACATGGTCTGATAGAGAGCAAGAGGAAACGGTTTTAAACTAAAAGAAGGAAGATTTCTATGAGCTTTCAGGAGGAAATTCCTTACTCTTATGTGAGGCACTGGAACAGGCTGTCCTGAAAAGTTGTGGATGGCCCGTACCTGGAGGTGTTTAGGGCCAGGTTGAACTAGGGCCATGGGCAGCCTGAGCTAATGGATGACAACTCTGTCCACAGCAGGGGGTTAGAAATGGATGAGCTTTAAGATCCCTTCCAATCTAAGCCATTCTATGAATTAAATTGAGTGGAAGTTGGAGGCTTGGGAAGAGGATATAACATCTACATTGGATCAAAGAAATCAGTGTGTAGAAATTTAACAAAGTTTTGTTACTGTTAAGTCAGGTATTCTTTATTAGAAGCACCAGGAAGCACTGGGGATATTTCCACCATAAGTGCTTCAAAGATTACATGATTCAGAGTCCATTATATTTCCACAGGTGGTACATACTCATCAATTATGCATGAGACAGTGAACTTATAAATGCCTATCTCAGGTAGTGATTTATGAGGTCTCCAGTCTTCTATTCCATGGTCCTTTCAACTGTCTAGCATTCTCTTAGCATCATGACAGTCCAATCGACAGTCTTTTACTTCATCCAATAGTCTTCATCACTTTTCCTGTAGATGAACTTTCTCCACTGACACATGCTCAGTAGGAGAATGCCTATTGTAAGTAATTTATAGGTACCAAAATTTTAACATTTGCTCACTCAGCACTCAGCCATTATTTCTGGGCATCTGCTCATCCTTAAGATACACTTGGCAATCTGTATTTTAATGATATATACTGGGTTGTAGAAGATAAGGAAGATAGAGGGGAGTATCTTAATGTCTGCCTGTTGCATCCCAACTTAGTCACAGAGTGAGACAATTCAGTCTTGTGTGGAGGCCCTAGTTTCATTATTGTATTTCTTTTGCTGAGGGTCTCTTGTCAAAACAGAATAGATTTACAATGTGCTTTCTAGTTAGTATTATTAATAGTCCATACTATTCGCAACATCTAAAAGGTATTACAGTTTTGCAAGCAAGATCTAATCACATAATACAACAATTCAGCAGCTATATTTCTAAAAATACAGTACTAAAATATATGGTATATCTACTTTTCCAAATCAATTATTTATAAAAACACTTTACGAAATATATTGTGGCCTGCTTCTTCAAATCAACATCACTAGTGGTACAAAGGTAAAAATAATCTGTTCATCTCCTTTGGATCATCCAGAGAGAATTTTTTACATCAGAAAGTGAAAACACATCTTTGTGGGCAGCAAAGAAATAAAGAGACTGCGTATTTGACTGTGTGTCGTCTCAGGCTGCAAGATCAGGAAAAACACAGAATCATACAGTGGCAGAACTCCAGAACCTCAAACTCATCTGTGAGAATATAAAAATGCTTCCTCAGAACAGCATAGTTATGAAAGCGGAGGAGGAGCCATGACTATTGGGAACAACATCTTGCTAAAAATTCCAGTTCTGAAGTCAGTCATGAACTGCATGCAAACTCTGGGGCTAAGACAGGCCTGAGAACACCTTATTTTAATCCCACTCATGACTAAATCGCGCCACTGTAGTTGTAAACAATCTATTAATAGTGTTAAAGCATCTGCAGATGCAAAGTAACCTTGCAGAATGTTACGTATTTTGGTGCAAATATGCAGGTCTTGGCTTGGGATCCAGCAGGGCCCTCTGACAAGCTTAATACCTCAGTTATCTTTCTTCATTTACTGCAGCTGCCAGATGTCCCCACTGCTGCAGCAGAAATGGTCCAGCAGGATATAGGTTCATCTCTTCTCAGCCACTGCAGTCCACAGACAGCGTGTTAAAATAAACCACTGATTTCAGTTTCTGTCAGTACCCACCTACTCTGCAATCCCATGTGCTAGCCAAAGCTGGTGGGGATCTCTGAGCTGCCCACTGGCTGCATCTACTGTGGGAACAAGGCAGTAGTGGTGCCCTGCAGCAAGAGCAGGACGTTGATGGTATGTTTCCCAGCACAATTCAGTGATTGAGGCCTGCTGCTGTTGCATAAGCAGCCAGATCATGCCTCTTCTATGATTCAATCCCCAGAGAATAGGTTGTACACCAGTCATTGGCTTCAACACCTGCTTCCTGGACATGTCTTTCATGGAAGTGACTTGAGACAGCTGTGTGGAGCACTTAAACATGTTCCTCGCAATGCTGAATGATACAATCAAAGTAATGCCAAGACACAGGGCTGTCTGATCATTGCCCTGCTGTGACCACCATTGGGCTTGTGGTAGTCGTGTCTCGGGGAGCTGCATTGCCTGCCTGTCCCCTCCCCCTGGCCTCTACTGGAGAGGTAACAGAGTTGTGCTTCAGTTTCATTGGTCAATGGCCCTGGGAGAGAGGTGATGGCATGGGGAGAGGAAAATCAAGGGACTGGAAAAGGCAAAGATAGCCAGGTGAGGGAGAGATAGGATGTGCCCTTCTTCCTGCACCTCTTGAGATGCAAGATAGTGCAGCAAAAGCCTGGGTGCAGAGACCTCAGTATAACCCTAGAGTCATGGGGATCCACGTTCAAGGCTGTGTGTGGAGCATGATCCACTTGACTGACACATAGTGAAAAAATGCCAGTAATTTCTTTCATAAAAAGCCCAGGGTTGGAGATGCTCACTCTTAATGCACCAGTCTCTTGAAACAGGGGGCTGAGAAACATGGAGTGTTGCTCTGTGTCCTTTCTTCCTATTTCTGAATGGCAGTCTCCAGGAGATATCAAGCTGGTGACTTCACAAAGAAGAAGCTACATTTGCTAAATGACAACAGTGGCTGAGGTACCTGAGGTCTTACCATTTCCCCTCTCAGGATACTCTCTATACTCACTCTCTGTTCCAGTGACCTCTTGATCACCAGATTGCTATGAACACCATAGCAAGGCACCAAAGATATAATCTCTTTAACAGCTGCTTGGTACTGATGGAGCGGGACAAGCTTAAACTGGAGAGATCTTTACAAAGTTGGGCCTCACTTCCCACATACAAGTGACTGTTTCAAAGATGTGTAAGCTCATGTGTTGCTGAACTGCAACTGAAGGACAGGACAAATTAAATGTCCTAACAATGAAGAAGTGTGTCTCCTCTAGGAAGAAGGAGCACTAAGTATTTATCTCTTAGCATTTTCAACTATTCTCACATGAATAAAATCTTTAGCGTTATGAGCTTTCTTCCTTTGTTCTTCTTTCTTTTTTTCCTATGTGTTCCCAACAGGATTGGCATCTGAAGGCTCTTTTTGAGAGAACAGATACATCCAGTGGACATCCAGAAAGTGTTGTGAACCTGAACAAAATTAAAGCCTTCAGCTCAGATGGGAGAAGGATTTCCTTCCCATCCACTACTTGTCATGCTCCTCTGCTGTCTTCTCTGCATGTTGGACAAGAGAGCCACATAACATAATGTACCTAGCATTTTCTTCCCCTCATTCTGAATCAACTGTGGCAAGAAGCCAAAGAAGTCAGAGAGGCTTTTATTTGTCCGGCTGATTTCTAGTCTTCCCTTAGATTGTTTTTCTCATTCTGATTTTCTCATGTACTTGTATTTCTCTCATGCATTTTCCTGTTCATTCTGCACTCCAAGTGGCCTCCCATTTTAAACTGTTTTCTTTTCCTTCATGACTCCTTAATTTCCTTTATGCTGTGATTTCCTTTATCTGTTTCTGTGGTACTTTGAGTTTATTTCAGGCTTGGAGACACAGCAGTGCATGCAGATACAAGAGCTGAGCTGATTATAACTGGCTTTTCATTGGGAATGGTTATTTGGACAGAAGCAAGAAGCTTCTTTGGGAAGTTTTGGGTTTTTTTATTTTTTTCCCCCCTTATGAAGCCTTCTCCAGGATGAAAAGAAGGAGATTAATTGTATAACCAATCCTAGGTGAAACTCAGGCTCATATCCCTTCCTAAGGCCCTTTTTAGGGGGACCTGGATAGGCTTGAACAGTGGGCCTCATGAGGTGAACCTCATGAAGTTCAACAAATCCAAGTACAAGGTCTTGCACCTGGGTTGAGGCAAAAACCATTAACAGTACAAACTGGGAAATGAAAAGATTGAGTGCAGCTCTGCTGAAAAAGATCTGGGGGGTATTGGTGGATGGCAAGCTGGACATGACCCAGCAATGTGCCCTTGCAGCCTGGAAAGCCAAACAAATCTCGGGGTGCATCAGAAGATACCTCATCAGCAGGTCAAGGGATGTGATCCTGCCCCTCTGCTCTGTGCAGGTCAAGGGATGTGATCCTGCCTCACCTGGAGTATTGCATCCAGATATGGAGTTCTCAGTACAGGAGAGACACAGACCTGTTGGAGCATATTCGGAGAAGGGCCACAAAAATGATCCACGAAATGGAACGCCTCTCCTGTGAGGACAGGCTGAGAGAGCTGGGGCTCTTCAGCCTGGAGAAGAGAAGGCTCCAAGGTGACCTGAGAGTGGCCTTTGAGTATCTGAAGAAGAACTACAGGAAGGAAGGAGACAGACTCTTTAGCAGGTTCTGTTGTGATAAGACAAGGGAAAATGTCTTCAAGCTTAGGGAGGTTAGATTTAGGTTTCATATGAGGAAAAAATCTTTTACAGTGAGAGTGGTGAGGCACTGGAAGAGGCTGCCAAAGATGTGGTTGATGCCCATCCCTGGAGACTTTCAAGGTGAGGCTGGATAATGCCCTGAGCATCCTGATCTAGCTGTGGTGTCCCTGTTCATTGCAGGGGAGTTGGACAAGATGGTTTTTAGTGGTCCCTTCAAACTCTAAGGATTTTATGATTTTAAACCTGGTTCTATGACGTTGCAGCTGAAAATGCCACAAACTATTAGTTATTTTGGAGCATAATACAG